TAAATATTTTCTATAAGATTACTTGCTTTGACCAACAATAGACCAAGGATATGTTTATGGCCTTAATAACCATGGTTAAGTTATTATAATTTATAACTGACCTACCGTTAATTTTTTGATTGACTCCCATAAGTCATGTTCATGTTAAAACTTGAATTTTGCGTGCGAGGAAAATATTTTGACATTGATCGAAATTTACTTTTCTAAAAATATTAAAAATGTGCTCACGGTTTACAAAAAGGCTTCTTAGTTACCATTACTATTATTATGTATAATAAGCTTGAATTTTATAATAATGAAGGTCATAAATCATAATAAATAAAATAAGAGCGCTTTTTAATTTGGGTATTTGAATAATTTAAATTGAAAAATACTAAACAAATTGTATAAATTACGTACATGACGGTATATTTTAAATAAATTATAAATAAAAAATAATATATTTATAATAATAGGTGTATATAATTTCAAAAAATGCATGTGTTTATAATGTAAAACATAAGAATAATTAATTTATTTTTTACGATCAAGTCAAATACTTTTGAGATACAAATTTTCTATTCCTCTCAGTGCTTTATCAAAGTAATTAAGTTTAATGGATTTTTTTACATGACATCAAACAATAGTCGACTTTTCCATTTGCGATTTTATTTATTTTTGTACACGACAACGACGGAACGTTTAAATGTCACTGTATTTTTTTTTTTTTTTTTGGACGTCTTCAAAAAACATTCATTGCCATTAAAAAAAAAGTTTACGTACGTTACTTTGTGTTATAAAAAAAATGTGTACGATAAAAATAATCGGTAACTTTTATTCTGCCTTTTTACTGACCACGCTATTTGGTGCCATGTCTAAATCATCTCAAATGGAATAATCAGTCTTTCGAATCATCAAAGAACATCTTGGAGCATCATCCCAAGCCTTTACTAATAATACTAAATACTAAATACTATTTTTATATTTTAATGCTGTCAATTTTGACATGATATGATGTACTCTGTATTTTTTATTTTATGATTTTTAGTTTGCGGAATTTTATTCTAGTATGATTAGTTATAGTTTAACTGTAAATTAGCATCATTGTTAGCACGTAACATTTCTAGTTCACCAAGTGTGGTCTTTAACATTGTCTTTAAGCATGTTAGAAATTTATTAAATAATAATAGTGTATTAAACATTATGCCGATGTCAAATATATTATAGGTTTTGGTGATTTGACAAATCACTGAATATGACTAAATTAATAATGCTTAAAGTATGGTCAAACATTTTTCATTGTATTTATATCAGACTTTGCAGTGTGGTAAATCAGATTCTGCATCTATGACAATCACATCTGTATATATATGGTTAAAGGCCACTTTTAACACAATTAAGTTGATTTATTCCTCGCATATTCAAATCTTTAAAATTCTGAATAGTTTTTTCGTCCCATTTTTTAAATGTTAACGTTGTTGAATTATTAAAAAATTGACCCTGTTAACTAAATAAGAGAAGTGCGTCAGTCGTGTAATATACATGATTTGTTTCCAAATTTATATTTAGTAATAACTCTACAACTGGTTAATACTATAGTTATTATTATTACACTTGTTCGACGAAAAAACGTGCCGGTTTTGCGCATGTAGACTGACAACCGAGCGTCCCCCAAGTAAGTAGCATACAATTTATAAGTCATATTTTTTTCTCGTCCTAAGGGAAAAACTATTTGGCCTATAAAAGTCAGTTTATGATAAGTATTTAACGGTTTTTTTTTTGTATTGAACAACCGTTCAAATAAATTACTTACGAAATTGAATCGAAAAATAACAAAGTACCAACGTCATTTCGTAACCATTAGTTATAATTATGGGTATGGTAGTGCTGATGCTTTATTGTTATTGTTATAGTATTGGATTATTATCGTTATCTTGATAATTGTAGCTAGTTTATTGATTTAATACATAGATGTCGTGTTGTAAAAAAAATAATTGTAATTGCGTTTATTATGGTCAACGTTAACGTCTGATATTATAAAAGATAGAATGATCCTTGAATGTTTGTTTGATTCAACCGCGCCAGCGTGCACGTCGACGGGTTAAATCGAAAACAATACAGTCCTATTGTTTACAATATTATGTGGACTTAATTAAAAAATAATTTCTCCATTCAACCAGCGATTAGTAAAATATTGTTGTTTTGCCAATGGGTTAGAGGCGGAAGAAATTGTTGTAAATTCTCTTCTATATCAAATGTGCACTTCTGTTTTTAGAATATTCTAAAAAAAACCCAGCACAGTAGGGGCAGGGTCCGGGGCTTACGAGATAAAATCACTTTCAAATTAACGCTTTAAACAATTTTATTTTTATTCGTTTTTAGCAAAAGCTGCAATGAATATTTCAATCGGAAAATATTTTACAATCGTATTTGAACAATATATTATCTAATATGTAATTGTAATTGAGTGACGACTGTGCTTGTTCAAGGGCGCTGGGCTCAGGCCTGATGTTTTAAACAAATGTCATAATTCATAAATGAAACGAGTTTAATAATTCTCCATGACTCATGATTCGTAATGTTCTATTATTTTTGCGATGTCATTGGTCTAAATTTTAATAATCCGTATTCTGATAGTATGAACAATGTGAGGCCCGTTAACTTGTTATGCCAACAATAATAATAATTGTTCTTGCTTGAGTGGATAATAATTTCTACTAAACGTCTTGAGCATACAAAATCGTTTGCTCAACGGTTGTTTTTTTTAACAACAACTGTGGCCATAGGTAACACCGTCAATCGTCGTTCGTGTTAAAATTACATAATGGTCTTCATTGTACACAATTAATGTAGCAGTGACACGTTGGGATTTAAAAAATATACATTTGCCAGTCAGTGTGCTTCAATAGAATTTTAGTTAATTTTTCTCTTTTTTCGTAAGAGATTTACTTATAGGATGTGTTTACAGTATTACACACCGTGTAGTCTATTCCTATCGGCCGCAACGTTTATAAACAATTTCATTGAAGAGGCGTTTCCTTACTTTTTCTGACGACACTCGCCCGTATTCGAACATTACGTGGTCAGATGTTTTTAACGATTATACATTATAATAATAATAATACGATGACGACGAAGCCTTGATATAATGAAACGACCAGAGCCCACGCGAGTCTTCTTGTAGCTAGGTGATCACGATCATCTGTAGTTCGAAAACGTTTACCGGCTTGGAAAATAAAAATAAACTATAGTTAAACTTGGTTGAAGAAAAAAAATAATTTTATTATAAACGCTTCAGCGGTCAGATGGGTTGTAAACCAGGCCTACAAAGACCGTTTGCTCGATGAATAGATTTTTCCAATAATATTTAGGTCACTTTGAAGAGTGCGACCTCGACCAACTCAATAGGTTACCACCCGCGCGTGTACACCTAGGATACGTACCCTTCTGTACTGCCATTATTATTAAAATACTGCTTCAAAACTGATGTACAGGGAATTCAGAATTTTATGAACCAATTTTATTTTTTGAGGATATACTAAACCGTTTTCATTTTTTAAGATAATATTTTATGGTAGTTGATTTTTTTTCCTCTCCAGCAACAAGATTACGGGGGTTAACTTTTAAAATTTAAATGTTAACGTATACATTAAATAATTTGTTTCAATTAAGAATAATTTGCTGACAATTTTGACTGGTCAATAACCAGTTTTGAATAATTTATTTTAAAGTTCTCAAAGTTTAAAATTTAGGAGGGAGGAAAGGTGTAGTGTAGTATCATTTTTATCTGAGTACATTACTGCGTTTCATCTCTCCTCCTAAGTTTTAAACTAATATAACTTAAAAAATATTGACCTTAAACTGTTTATCGAACAGTCAATATTTTCAGAAAATTACTCTAATTAAATGTATATGTTACCATTTAAACTTAAAAATGTTACACCCCTCCCCCCACCCCTACAGGGGTTTCACTGAAAAAAAAATTACTTAAAATTATAATTGTATGATAAAAACCAAAAATGTATTACACAGAGTTATTTTTTTTTATAATTTTAGTATATTATCGAAAAACCCGGCGGGTCATGCAGTTATGAATACCTTGAACTTTTTTTCCCGTAAACTAAAAAAATGTAACATAAGGTCATGAACAAAAACGATATTGACCAAAACCACTATGACCTGGCATACCTAAAGGTAAATTAGACATTGCTAGGGGTGCTATATGTTCTTCATTACTTTTAAATCTAATAATATGTTATCTGTATTTGAATAATCAAATTGAATTGTATTTTTTGACAAGGCACAAGGGAGATGCTAATCATTTAAAGTCAGCTTGTACTTCAGGATATTAAATATTAATTATTTATGAGGTCAATTCCGTACGATAAACGTGAGCTTTCCCCTAGTTTGTAAAATGGAAGTAGGAAAACGTTTACTGGGACTTCCTCTTAACAGGGTTCCGCTTAAGTAATGTATTTACGAATCAAGTAATTACTATAATTGAAATTTAACTTCCTGCAGTTGTTTCCGAATTGAATCACCGATAAACCGGCAAAAGGACAACGTGTATCTACGCCTAATTCAATATATATATACTTTGTACTATGTACATACTTTGTGTCTAATTTTAGGCATTCCTGTTGGGCTTCGGTATACAACAAATTTGCTGCTGTTTTTGATTTTATGTATATTTTTAATTGGGAACGACCGATAACAAAAACCTACGGCGGGCCTACGGTAAAAATCTATTGGCATACAAACAAGAATGTGTTATTCCTAGAGTTTTTACCCGTATAATAAATTATTATTTAAAATGACACTGCGTATATTAACGTCCGTCTGGTATTTTTGGGTAAAATTTTTAATTAATCGACTATTTATTTGTGTCTGGTCTCCTGATCACACTTGATAGGAATCTCTTTGTAGATCTGTCCGTCTGTACATTTCTGTCTATTTTTTCCATCAAAATTTTGTTTGTTGGTGGCAAATTTAAAAAAAAAAAATACCTTGTGCCCTTTTAGGTGGATCCAGTGACTTCATACTTGCGAGCGGCCAGGTCGGGCAATCTCGAGAAAGTCTTGCAACTATTGGATGTCGTCGGCGTCGACGTAAACACATCGAACGCCGTGAGCATTGAATTTGACTATTTTTTATGGGGTGTATTCTTGTTAGTATTGTACTCCTACTGATGTGACTGGATACCAATTACAGAACGGGCTGAACGCGCTTCATTTGGCCGCCAAAGACGGGCACGTGGAAATAGTAAAAAATTTACTAAAAAGAAAATGTTCGGTGAATGCGGTTACGAAAAAAGGCAATTCTGCTCTGCACATTGCGTCTTTGGGTAAGTTGATTAAAAATCTATTTAGTACAATAACACGCGATTACTCCAAATTACATTTATTTTGTAGCCGGTCAAGAAGAAGTTGTCAAAGTGCTGGTGGAGAACAACGCGTCTGTAAACATACAGTCACACAGTGGTTTCACGCCACTCTACATGGCCGCCCAGGAAAACCACTGCAGCATTGTCGAGCTGCTGTTGAGCCACGGCGCGAATCAACTGTTAGTGACCGAGGTAATAAAAACTTGCGAATAATATTCATTAAAATTATTATCTTAACGTTACAAGGTGTGCGGCGGAGTTAAACAAAACCATAGTAGGTTGTCTGTCTCTCCCAATTTGTCGTGAATATGCTTCAAGGCCGACAAATGAATTTATTTAACTGTTGTTGATGTTTAAAAATAATAGTTATAATTTAATAACGTATGCGGTTAACCGGAAAAACACTTAGTTAAACGTTCTTAATTGGCGCTGTTTAGCAGATAGACCGACAACGTTTCGTTTTATCATTGTTTAAATAATGGCATGAAACTAGGGCACAACGAGTTTAGTATAGCTTTGTACTAATTCGAGAAAAAAAACAGTTTAGTAATGGACGGAGCATATTGGGGCGGGGAGGTCACAGGTCTACAGGAATTATTATAATTGGAAGGGATAAATCACTTTCAAATAAACGCTTTGATGCATATCTGTAAGGTAGAAATTCAAAAATCGATAAAAGCACTGTGAAGGCAAAAGTGTGTTTAAAATTGTGTATTATTTTTAGTATTAGAGTGGACACGATTAAGGTTAGTCGTCTGTCTTTTCTTAAAATTCGTTGCCGTTATAACCAATCAACAACATAATGAAAATATTTTTCGGATACCTGTTTGTAGATTCACTCGCATCTTACAATTTACGGAGCACAATAATAGTGTAATTTTTTTCCTTTTTCGAGGGGTTTCCTTTATATAAAAAAGTTTTTCGAAAATCGTATATGTTATAGCTTTCGTCTAATACTCAAACTCCAAAAGTCCTAAAATTTCGCTCGAAAAATAAAAATAAATGAAAAGATACTCCTTTCTAGGGGAAAGAGTATACAATATTTTTTTGTTTGTCAACATTTAACGATAGTATTTTATCTAAAAAATATTTCATATAAATTTGGAACTAATTACACTATTTTGAAAAAAGTTATAGTGCGTCGTAATTTTAACTTTTAAAATGTAAGTTTTATAGGGATTTTCTCAAGTTTGAAAGGGAAGGGATGAACTTTTAGCTTCATTAAGTACTTTTCAAGTACAGTTTTTTATCTATATACTCACTACGTGCAGAAATTAGTTCAGCGGTTTAGAAGATATTGTGGGTCCAGACACAAAAAAACGCGTAAAAATAATACCTTCTCAGCTACGCATCGAAGCTAAAAAAAAATTAGTATTCGTTTTTTTAAAAATTAGTTTGCTTGTCATTTAAACAGCCTAATATTAAACGTGTATGTTATATTTTATTAGGATGGATTTTCACCATTAGCAGTAGCTATGCAACAAGGTCATGATAAAGTTGTAGCTATTCTGCTGGAGAATGATACTAAAGGCAAAGTCCGGCTACCCGCACTCCACATAGCTGCCAAAAAAGATGATACAAAGGCCACCAACTTGTTGCTTCAGGTTTTAATCGTTCATTGGCATTTTACTTAATTCATTTATATGTTTATATAAAGGATCTAAAAACTTAAACCTCATTTTTAGGAATAATGTGTTAATCACTTATTCAAAATTGGTGTTTTATAATTAAAAAAAAAAAGGAATAAATGTAGAATTTAGTAAGCAGTATAACTATGTATGACTTATGAAAATTTATGACAGTAATGTTCACTTTGTTATGAGGTAGATTTATTCAGATCCGAATTACAAATTTTTTTATAGAGAAATTTGGATTACAGAGCTAAAAAATGGCGTAATTTTGAGCAAGTATAATTAGAAATTTAAACACATTTTTAGTAGTATAATATGTGGACTTCGAAATTCTATTTAAAAAAAATAGTTTTATTGTTTAAAACATTATATTAGGTGAACAAAACACATTTTTTATTTGTTAAAAATGATACGTTACAGTTTTAAAGAAAAACTATCGTTCTTTTTATGCAATAATATCTAAGCTTTTGAACATATACAGTTCATCAATGAATTAGGCTTTAATAATATTAAAGAAAATGTACTTAACTTAAAAAAATTACTGTACAATGAATTTACCAGAATAAATGTATAATGCTATATGCTAAATAATACACCTAAAAATTTGAAAACTTTACTTTTGAATTTCTAAAATGTTTCTATTTAAAAAATATTTTGGATGTTAACATATTTTTTAGCTTTGTAAACTGGGTTCAAAATACAATTTAACTGATACAAAGGTTTTTTTTTAACTTTTAGAATGCTCATAATCCTGATGTTACATCTAAGAGTGGATTTACCCCATTACACATTGCTGCACATTACGGTAATACTAATGTAGCATCCATGCTGGTTCAAAAAGGTGCCGATGTAAATTTTACTGCCAAAGTATGACACAAATATTATTAATAGGACGTTAAACTACCTATTTATTAAGTAGTTTTATGAGAATTATGTGTACTTACTAGTATAGTCATAACTATTCTTTATTGGTAATAAACTCATTTTTTAGATCAGCACAGCGCCCTAGGCGTTTCTTTTTATTATTTTTCTAACAAACAGCTATGTAGAATGCATTTTACTCTGTCTATAGTTTAAGAGAACAAACACCTATTATTAAATTGAAAGGATGACATTTTAGTAAAAAGTACTTATATTTTTTCAATATATTCACTATTTAGCTTAATATTTGATGCTTAAAAAGAAACATGTTTTTCTTTTTTTAAACCGTGGTTATATTTTTGCTGAGAATTATTTTGAAAAAAGGTAATGTCATTGTCTCCAAAATATCATCTATTTTCATTTCCATTTAAGTGTTTTTGCTCCAAAACCTTCATAGCCCAAGTAAAATGCTTTTTGTGTAGTCAGGTTCTTACGTTAGAGCATTAAGGGTTTAACGTCCTCTAAAAACTACTTTTTATTTTTGTTGAATGAATGATTTAATTTATAAATTATTTTTATTAGCACAATATAACTCCTTTGCACGTAGCAGCTAAATGGGGAAAATTGAATATGGTTGATTTATTGATACAACTCGGTGCTAATATTGTTGCTAAAACCCGTGACGGACTTACACCTCTACATTGTGCTGCCAGGTCTGGACATGATCATGTTATTGAACGTCTTTTGCAGAGCAACGCTCCAAGAATATTAAAAACTAAAGTATAATATAATGAATTTAAATTGCTATTTTTGTTTATGTTATATGTAATATAGATTGTAAACTATTTTTAATATTAATTGTAAACTATTTTTCAGAACGGACTAACTCCTCTTCACATGGCAGCTCAAGGAGATCATGTGGACGCAGCTAAAGTGCTATTGACCTATAAAACACCTGTTGACGATGTTACAGTAGATTATCTTACTAGCTTACACGTTGCCGCACATTGTGGTCACGTAAAGGTTGCCAAAACATTATTAGAACATAATGCTGATCCAAACGCCAGAGCTTTAAACGGTTTTACTCCTCTTCATATAGCATGTAAGAAGAGCCGTATTACAGTTGTGGAACTTTTATTAAATCATGGAGCATCTATTGAAGCTACAACAGAAGTATGTATTTAAGTTATATTTTGAATTATATTATTATAAAAACATACAATTTTTCTTTTTTTTCAGTCTGGATTAACTCCTTTACATGTTGCTAGCTTTATGGGCTGCGTAAATATAGCTTTGATTTTAGTTAGCCACAGTGCTTATCCCGATGCTAGTACAGTTCGCGGCGAAAGTCCATTACATTTAGCAGCTAGGGCCAATCAGTCTGACCTTGTCAGAGTTTTGGTACGATCAGGTGCTACAGTGGATTCTAAAGCTAGACATGGCCAAACTCCTCTTCATGTAGCTTGTCGGTTAGGTCATACCCAAATAGCAACATTGCTATTGAAACATGGCGCTTCAGTAGATGCTACAACTACAGATTTATATACCCCTTTACACATAGCTTCAAAAGAAGGCCATGAAGAAGTAGCTGCTGCTCTTTTAGAAAGTGGAAGTTCTGTGACATCTACAACTAAAAAAGGATTTACTCCTCTGCATTTGGCAGCTAAATATGGAAACATTACAATTTCAAAAATGCTTTTAGAAAAAGGAGCTCCAGTTAACTCTCAAGGCAAAGTAAGTACACTAGTTAGTATACATAACTAGTGTGTATACAAAGAGTTTTGAGCCACAATTAGATAAATCCACTTTTTAAAATTGTCCAAGACAGTCAAAAGAAAATTTGTTATCCCATTTACTACAACGGGTGTATAATAATAGGGTTGTCAAAATATTGATATTTTTTCATAAATAATTTTACACAAACATTTTTTTTTTATAAAAGTGAAATTATCTGGTTAAAACTCTAAGTCCTTCCTATATACTAGTTGTAATAATGCTATTTATATAAATGTATATATATATATTATTCAAATAAATATTACAACACATATGTGGTCTTATCTACTCTTCTAAGGGGATTCAATAGCGAATGTTTTTAAGGAGTTTTATATGAACAAATTTTAAGAAAAAAAGGAATTAATAAATGTTGACTGTAAAAAATTATTTTTAGGTTCATTTTATGTAGCTTGAAGGTATTATTTTTAACTTACACAATTTTTTTACAAGCAACTTCACACTTGATTGTTCGTTTTCATATTAAGATCAATTATGCATTTGATTGACTATTATTGTATGAACAGCATACTCAATTCAAATGACTAAATGATCATTCAAATGATTATAAATGATAATGATTCAACTGTTAAACTCATATTGTAAGCTCCACACACACATACACACAGGCTCTGCTTATTAATGGGAACTAAAAATAATCAAAATGTACTCAATAAATATCTTCAAACTCGATACTTGTTTTTTTTTATTAGAATGTAATATTGGAGAAATAAGTTAAATGTGCAAAATATTGAGTACATATCATGAAACATTCATCTTATTGAAATCTGTAACTACTTTTTAATAGTTAATTTATGGAAACAGTAAACAAAACAAATTAATGTACAGATAATATGAAAAATGCTTATTTTCATCTTAAAGTGAATTGCATTTTTTGAAATTTTGCTTAAATATAGTTTTGAAATTATGTAAATGGCTAAATAAGTAAATATGTTTTAAAAAAATTGTCAGTTCCTTAAGGTTAATTTATTAATCATATAATAATTACCTTTTCTTAATTTATAAATTATTTATAAAATAATAATAACTTTAGCAATAATATTTTTTTCATTGATTAAATGAAATGATTGTACATTGTTCTTAATGAGTAAAGTTATTTATGGTTGGTTTCTGGTTTAGAATGGAGTTACTCCGTTACATGTGGCTAGTCACTATAACCACCAAGATACGGTGTTCTTGCTTCTTGACAAAGGAGCATCACCTCATATGGCTGCTAAAAACGGTCATACACCGTTGCACATTGCTGCTAAGAAGAATCAGGTAAAAATTGTTATGCAGTTTGAGACTCATGTGCTGTGGGGCATATCTGTCTAACACACTTGTTTTGCAGTTGGAAGTTGCATCTACACTACTGATGAACCAGTCTGATGTCAATGTAGAATCTAAAGCCGGGTTTAGTCCGTTACATCTGAGTGCACAGGAAGGTCATTTGCAGATGTCGAACTTGCTACTAGACCACAAGTCAGATGTCAACCTACAATCAAAGGTATCATATTACAGCTGATGGGTTTTGTATTATTGTTAGTTAATCAAATTTCATGTTTTATTTACTTATAATAATCCTTGTAGAACGGTTTGACACCATTACATCTCTGCGCTCAAGAAGACAAAGTGATCGTCGCAAGTTTATTAGTTGATAACAGTGCAAATATCAACACCACAACCAAGGTAAGAAAAAACAAATTAAATATAATTATTTTAATGCCCATCAAATTAAGATAACCAATAGGTATAAAAATAATTACTAAAACTTGTTAAATTTTTTTTTAGACTGGTTTTACTCCTCTTCATATAGCATGTCATTACGGACAGCTCAACATGGTTAGGTTTCTCTTAGAAAAAGGTGCTGATGTAGATGTGCAAACTTCGTCTGGTTACACAGCTTTACATCAAGCTGCTCAACAAGGGCATGCCGTCGTCATAACTCTTCTGCTTCAAAGCAAAGCTTCTCCCAACATCCAAAATGCTGTAAGATAATATAATAATACATTTTTATTTTATAAATTATAATATTGAGTGACATTTGTTAATACAGCAAGGACAAACTCCTTTGAGCTTAGCAAATAAATTGGGCTATGTAAGCGTGGTAGAAACATTAAAAGTAGTGACGGAAACAACTGTAACAACAACAACTACAAGTACTATTGAAGAAAAATACAAAGTAATAGCGCCTGAATCAATGCAAGAACCATTTATGTCTGATTCAGAGGATGAAGGAGGTATTGTTATGCTTTTATTATTATATATGTTCTAAAGCTTTAAACTAACATAAAGTATTTGTTGTTATCACTAACTGCGCATTGGCAAAAGATTTAGGAAATATTAAAGGGTTAGGCAACTGTCAATAGAGCTCTTCTGGGATAGCTTTGCTTTTTGTGTTGATCATTTTTTTTTCTTTTTTTGGATATTTACTTGAGACAGGTGGTGATGATGTCTTGTCGGTGATCATGAACGATTACGGCAAGCCAACACATGCGCAACACATATATCTTCCGTACTATCAAGGTCAAAATGTATTATGTAAGTTGTAGAAAACATGTATTGGGAATATTACGTGCGTCAATTACATCTGGTTTAATGCTTCATACATAATAAGTACTAGTGCTTTTGCTAATTGTACTTGCAACTTAATTTTAGTTTTCTAATTACTTATTTACAACAAGGCATCGGAAGTTGCGGCAAAGAATAATATCACAATTAAAGAGTTTGATAAAAACTTTATACACACTTTCAGTGTTTATATATCATCGCTGCCATGCAAAAAGTTTACCATGTACAAAGTGGTACATTCAAGATATAGGCTCAGTTTAAAGAAAACCATTTTTCTAAATTTTTCTTGTTATCAATATCATAATGAAGTAACCAAAAAAGTAACCTTTTCACTTAAACAATATAATATGTATTATATCCATGTTTGATAATAATTAACTTAACGTTTTTAACATATTATACTGCCTACTATAGTAAAATAAAATATGGAAATTTGTTGTATAAATGTTATTTTTTACCTAAATTGAATAGAAAAATAATGTATATTATAGAATAGGCAATTTGTTAACAACATTATTGTTTTGTTCACCAGTTAAAATATGTGTAAATGAGCTTGTATTCATTCGAAAATGCTCAGGGTGTGTACTAACAATATGTAATCAATTTGAGTTCCGGTCAGTTGGTATTCAATTAATTGTATTAAAACATTCACAAATCTCTATTACTAATATAGCTGAAATCCCTTTGCCATGACTTAAAAATGTACTTATTGTATACATTTAAAACAAATTTTTTGCATGAAACGTTGCTTATGTGCTGAATGATTTTGTCTTTTATGCTTTATTTTATAAATACATTTATGTATAATATTTATTTATGGTTCTCTAATTATTTAATGTTGGTTCATTTGGAGATATGGCTGTTAACAGAAATATATCAGCTATTGGAAAATTCTATGTCTGTTTCATAATAATGACATAATTTAACATTACTTATATGATATTAGTAGAGACTTCAATATGAAAATAATAATAAATAATTTATAAATTTTAGTATAAAATTATTAGTTATATTATATGAATTATATGAACTGATATAGCTTTTTGTACTCAATTTTAATATTTTTATGTGTTAAGTATTAGTAAATAGTAAATAATAGAAATAATAAATTTTCTATTTTTAAATCAACCTGAAAATGCATTAATATTCAACCAAAAGTTTAATAAAGTTGATTATTATCTACTCTTCAATTACCCCATTAATAATTTGTTTTTAAATGTATGTTGCTTCATAGAATTATGTATTTTGGTGTGATAAATACAACCAGCTGTATAAATCGTCTATAATAATATTCCTTGATATTTTTATGTTTGTTACTAATAGGTAGTTATAGTAGTAAAAAACATAACTTGATTAAATTGCATACATCAGTAGTTGACATTTCTTAATCTTCCGGTTGTGAGATAAGATATGCTGTGCAAACAAACCTTGTGACTTCGGTTTTATTTAAATTTACCAGTCATAACTCAATGTGGTTAACTATTATTTATTTATTTTTTTTAATTTTTGCATTTTGTTTGTTCCTAGAATGTTTGATTAAGTTAAAAAATGTTTTTTTAAAATTTATTTTCTTTTAATAGTTAATTTTAAACGGTTTTTTTAATTTAATAGATTGATATCATTCATTGGTTTAATTAATTTGTATTAACTTCACCATAATTAATTAAAAATATATTTTATGGCAGATGAAGACCCAATGCTAAGTGATCAACACCAATATCGCTATATGACTGTAGATGACATGAAATCGTTAGGAGACGATTCATTAAAAATTGATGTTACAAGAGATGAAAAAATGGACTTGCCCCATGAAACAACGGGTAAATAACTATTTTTTAACGTTATGATAACGCTAATGTATCATTACTTAGATTAGTTATAAAATGTCAACTTCCTGATGTATTATATGGACTTTTTTTCTATTTTAGCCATTAGTGAATATGTCACTAGCACACACTATGCATCACCCCAGTACTCGCCTAACCCTTCAGGTGGAAGCATTTTCTCTGATAATGTTGACATTGGGCGGTCTCCTGTGAATATAGGGTGAGTTATTTCATTATATTATATTTATATACAAATTATTGTGTATATTATGTATAAAATATGTTATAATTAAAATGAGTATTTTGCGTGAATTAAAAATAAATGATTAGGTATGAAACACTATTTAGAACCCTATTAATTTTCAATACACAGCTTTATACCACTGGAGGGGGAGGGCTATAATTAAAATATATTTTTTAATTTAAATATTCTGTATAATCAGAAAGAGAAACAACCGTTATTATGGCGAGCTGTCTGACAAACATGTTGCCAAAATAACACAGTTTAGGTTTTGTAGTTATACAATAGGATGTATAAATAGTGTACAGTAATCTAATATAACACAATAGTAATAATAATTATTATATTATTTATATAAAATTTTTATTATTATTATTTAATTATAATAATAAAAAAAAAAAACTTGTTTTTTGTACCTGATTTTTTTCAAATTAGTTAGCCTTTAATAAAAAATATTACAACCTACAATTACTTGGGAGTATAAATTATTGAATTTGAAAATTTTATACTAATAGCAAAATGTTATTTTGTATAATATGCGATTATGTTAAACAAATTTTCTCGTTAAAACTTACATAATTTATGGTTTTTTTTAAAAATATATTTTAAACCTTTTTTTTTATGTGTACTGCACTTATTAAATTAAAACACTTTATAATTAGTAGTTATTTTCCATTAGAACCTAAAAAAAATATCATTAGAGTCAGGCCATTAGTTTTAATTAGATTTTTTTTTTTTTTAGAAAAGCCATATAGATTGTTACCATTGTATCATATGTTGCATTATTTTGAAGCTTCAATATTATTTATAATACTGTCCTAAAAATAATGAGTATTGCTCAACTAATGACAATATTTGTTATAATATGGAGCCTACCCCTCCGTCCATCACTTCTCTATACTGTTTTTTTTAAACAAAATGTTGTAAAGTACTACCACCACTCATTTGAAGATATTATTATTTAAGTTATTACAATATGTTATTGAGTTTAGAATAAAATTGTATGTTACCAACCTAGTTATTTAAATGTATTTATTTTTTGACATTCAATGATCCGCTGATGAAAACCAACACAACATTTTTTGGTTGAAAGCGGTCTAATTCGTTTTTTTGTTTAAATAGCTGTGAACCTGTTGAATGGATTATAATGTTATTAAATAAAAATTCTAGCCACAAAATTATTTACTTTCACAATATATTCACATTAGTATGTATTTGCATTAAGTGATAATTTTTTGTGGATAGGGTTTTTGTTTAATAATAATTATTAATTTTACATGTCACTCTAACTTAAATTGTACTATGGATTATAATGATTTAAGTTTGTGATCAAATTTATTGAATATTTTAGCTGCCAGTTTCACAATGTATTGTTGATAATAAGTAATAACTATCATATTGTGAATAGTTTTATAGTTCAAAGAAGTGTATGGGTGGCTTTTCCAATCATTTTTCATGAAAAGAAAACAGTGTTTGTAATATTTTACAGTAGAGATCACATGATGGGGGTAGAAATGATTGGATGTAAATAATATAGTATTGTAGCGGTTAATGTAAAATAATTGTGAATGCATTATCGATATGCTTCTTATGCATAAGAGTAAAATGTAACACTAAACACCTCCCGATGCATTTTATACCGACAGGTGGCATAGTCTAGAAAGATCATTGGCGTTGCTTGGCCCTTGTGGAAAAACGACAGGAATGTGGCGTGAAAGGTAGACTGAGTGAATGTTTTTGAATGAAACACAAACACTAACTTGAAAAAAACTATTACCATTATTTTTTACTTATTTATCCATAATATTTTAGTTTTCTTATGATTTATTTAATTTGTTTTCCTAATGACGTTTTATTGCTATGCTCTGAATGCCAACAATTGGTTTGCGTGCTATGATTGATATTTTCATTTAATATATTTATTACAAATTTTAAAGATAATTAATTTTCCAATAACAAATTAAAATAAATAATTACACACTCACACATACCTATATATTTTTCCAGCACATTAGTAGTATTGATTACATTAAAACAAATGCACATTACGGTTAGGGTGTTGTATAAACTCCTTGAGATTACTTAATTATTAGTCTACTTATATGTTTTTAACATATTTATCTGCTTTAGTAATCAGCTCATCATAACAATATAATTTATGTGATATATTTTGTATATGCAACTATTAATTTTAAATATATCCCCTACTCGATAATCTAGTTATTACTTTAAAAAAAAAATTGGAAAAAAAATATTTGTAACTGAACTTTGTAATTCCAAAGTAAATATTTAAGAAAAATTTAAAAGATGTAAATAATGGCACTAATCTTAAATTTTGTTTTTAATTTTAAATTTGAATGGATTTGGCATTTGTACAGAAAGAATCGTTGGAAGAAGTAAGTTCATGTTTCCAATACATGATTTCACATGATATTTAATATTTGTCCTTTATAGTTCTCTGTAGAAAAATAGAATAAGTATTTATAATTAGAATTTGAATAGTTCTAAACCAAATATCCAATAAAATAAGTTGTATATAATATATAGCTTACAATCTACAATTGTTGTACTGTAATTTTTTAATTAGTTTTGTTTGGCATGGTTTATAATTTATATTACTTTAAGGGCATGATTTTTAAAACTACACCTACTTGTACTGATTTATATAAGCACAACTTATTTTAGTTATTCTAGCACACCTTTTAATTTTTGTTTCTGTTAATATTTAAAACATTTACATAATAATATTATGTATATTTTGGTTTTTAGTTTCCTTGTGAGCTTCTTAGTGGATGCTCGTGGTGGCGCAATGCGAGGATGCAGACAATCTGGTGTACGAGTGATCATTCCTCCTAGAAAAGCACCTAGTCCTATGCGTGTGACATGTCGATATTTAAGAAGAGACAAAATTGTTAATCCTCCGCCTTTAATCGAAGGAGAGGCATTGGCCAGTAGAATACTCGAACTAGGACCAGCTGGAGCTAAGTTTCTTGGGTATGTTTACATTTTAAGGTGTATCACATCCATTTATAATTAATTTTTTTATATACAGGCCTGTTATTATTGAAGTACCTCATTTTGCTTCATTGAGAGGACGAGAAAGGGAACTAGTGGTTTTGAGGTCTGATAATGGATCCACCTGGAAAGAGCATACATTAGAAGCAAATGAAGAAGCTGTTCAAGAGGTGTTGAATGACAGCTTTGAAGGGGGAGAAGACCTCAGACAGATTGAAGACCTTAAAACAAGCCGCATAGAACGTATACTAACGGTAGACTTTCCACAATATTTTGCTATCATATCCAGATTTCGTCAAGAAATACACCCAGTTGGTCCAGAAGGTGGTGTTATGTCATCTACCGTTGTGCCTCAAGTGCAAGCACTATTCCCTCCTAATGCATTGACAAAACGGATCAAAGTTGGCCTCCAGGTATGAACACTTAACAAATGTGACTCGCTATGGAATATAATTTTAGTGACAAATTAAATTAAGAACCTAATTTTTTCGATATTTAGTATAACCTAATATTTTGTCCTCTATAAATATCATTCATTTTTAATACTATACTTGACCCTTTATAGGGAAAATTAGTAATTATAAATTTATACTAGTGACCTATAAAAATCATATTTTCAAAACATAGCACAAGTCATAAGTGTTTAATTATATTTTAGGTGTGAAAGACAAGATACATTAATAGCTTATATACCATAAAATTTAGATGTACAAATAATAGAAAATGTTTTGTATTTTAGGCACAACCTATTCCTGTTGAATTGGTAACAAAACTGTTTGGTAATCGTGTTGCCGTATCTCCTGTAGTCACGATTGAGCCTCGAAGAAGAAAATTCCATAAAGCTATTACTTTGACCATTCCTTTACCGCAAGCCACTACTAAAGGAATGATTAATCAGTATTCGGGTGATGCTCCAACTTTACGACTACTATGTAGCATGTCTGGTAAATAACATATTTATTCTATCTAACCAACCGAACCCATGTGGTATTTAATAATAACAAAAACTTATCACAGGGGGACAATCTAAGGCCCAGTGGGACGATGTAACTGGAGGCACGCCATTGACGTTTGTCAAAGATTGTGTAACATTCACTACAACTTTATCAGCAAGATTTTGGTTGATTGATTGTAGAAATGTTAGTCAGGTGAAGAACATTGCCACACAATTATTTGTTGAAGCAAATTATGTTCCGTTCATGGCAAAGTAAGAGAAAGATTTATAATATTATGCTCTTGTTACTGAAATATTAAATTTCCTTTGTTGTTTTATTCATTAAGGTTTGTTGTGTTTGCTAAGAGAACTGAGGCCATGGAAGCACGTCTCAGAGTATTTTGTATGACAGACGACAAGGAAGAGAAAACATTGGAAAATCAAGAGCATTTTGTTGAAGTGGCCAAAAGTAGAGATGTGGAAGTGCTTCAAAATAAAAATATATTTGTAGAATTTGCTGGAAACTTAGTACCCATTTATAAGTCTGGCGAACAGCTTGACTTAAAATTTATGGCTTTCCGTGAAAATCGCTTACCATTTACAGTACGCATACGTGATTTAGAAGACACCAATGTAGCACGTATATTATTTATGCGTGAACCCAAAGCAAATCGTGGTGAACCCACTCAATCGCCTCTGTGCGTATTGAATGTAACTATTCCAGAAGACATTATCAATGAATCTACAAAATCTGAATCTGACTTATTAAGTCTAGATAGAAGTTATAATTTCTATGATAACGGTTTTGGTGAGACATGACTTTTATCATTTATTATTTTACTATTAACCTAACTGTTAATACTTTTTACAGAACAACATAGCGATACTATTCACCGTGCAGATATTCGTTTATCGGATATATCTAATATGTTGGGAGATAACTGGCCACCATTAGCTATTGAGCTAGGTATCTTACAGTCCGACATCAGTATTATTCAATCGGAATACCCGAATAACCCTCCGAGGCAAGCTATGGTCATGCTAAGATTATGGTTGCAAACTTTTGGGCAACAAGCTACTGGTAATTCTTTAGAAAAAGCTTTGAGGGCAATCAATCGTGAAGACATAGTCAATCAATGCATCCATAACATCGAAATCGTAACCGATGATATGGAGAAAGCTGTAGCTAAGACACACTTGGATCAGTCTGGATTCGATTCGTTAAAAGAAGAACTAGGGCCATCAAGAGACGGTTCTCTTGGGCGCACTAAAAAGGTGTATATTAAAACAACATTTTAGGTTTCTATTTTTATTTGGAAATAGCTAATCCTAATTCTTTTTGTATAAACAGAATGCTAATTATGTAAACGAAGAACATTTTAATGAACAACAAACGTCGGCTAATGTTGAAGAGGAGTTAATAAATGCTTTAAATGATCAAGTAATTGTTGACAAAGTTCAGAGCAAACAGAAAGCCCTTGGTGAGTTCAAAGTAATTGCTTTGTTAAACATTTGTATCATATAAATAATAAATTATTTTCAGATGATAAATATGCAGCCGAAGTCAAAGAGTTTGATTCAAAGACTGCAAACGGCGTAAGTAAAAAAAAAAGATCAAAGAAAGGCAAAAGCAATTTGCCAAAGGAAGAAGCGAAAGTGTCTGAAAATATTGACAAACACAAATAGGCAGCTAAAAATGCTGCTGATTAGTCACCTTATAAAGACAATTCTTAGGACGTATTTAATTTAATTAAAAATAATATTTAAGTTCATATAAAGCACATGAATTTATGTTAAATAATAGCTGTTTATTATTTTTATACACTTAAGAAATCATTTTATTTTTCTATTCAACTGCTTCATTCATACATATATTTGTCATCGTTTGATGCCATATTGGTTTATATGCGTGTACCGCTTAAAGATTGTTTCCTTTATACATTAGTAACTTGAGTATTGAAATGCTGATAGCTTTGACTTTTGTAATTGATTTGTTTAACATTGTATATGGTTTGTGAGTTTTTAGAAACCATTATATTTTTTGTTGTTATTTATACTTTAGAAATTATTTTATTTTATTTTTTGTTTTCTCTCACTTTCTATTTGTTTTTTAAATTATTAAAATTTATTTAATTCACTGGCGCTTCATATGGTTCTAAATCATACACATTTGTGTTATATATAAATATATATATATATATATATATATTTATGCATAAATAAAATGAAATATTGTATTATAGTATAAATACTAATAACTAATTATTATTTGGAAGACTTTTATTAATAAAAAAAAACTCTTTTAAAAAATATAATATAATCGTGTATAAGAAAAATAAAACGCTAGCCAAGACGAAACTGCCCGCTGTTGTGGTCATAACTGTGAATGAAATTGATTGACTATTCCTCAAATGCTAAATACATTTTCGTTAACAAACGGACGGATTGGCTGTGACTTGAGTTAACTTTTACCACTGAAGGTGTGTCAGAATTCTAAATCCCAGCCGGACAGCTCGTCGGGCGCCATGTCCGCGTCGTCAGGGTATGCATCAAAATTGGATATGTCTAGCGGGCTATTTATCTACAAATGGGTGTGCAATATTACTTCCACTATAATTATAAGAATAGCAAACATTTTGTAAAATGGCTACTCACCTGTGGCACAATAGGCGGTACTATGGTCTTATTCCTTAAACCTGTCCAGTCAAAACCTTGAAACCATCTAAAAATAAGTGATTATTAAAACTGTCTACCAGCAATAAAATCCCATAAATATCATTACTCGTGTCTCCTGACGTCCTGTATGCCTCCTTTTTGGTATCCCAACCTCTCTGTTGGGTCGCTCCGGCACAACTGTTTAATAAGACCCTGAGCCGATCTATTAATCTGTCTTGGAAAGTTTACGGCTGCCATACCTTTCAATATTGAGTTGTAGATTTTCATTGGCTCGTCGCCAGTAAACGGCGGTCTAAACAACAGTTCAATAACGATTTACATTTAAAGATGGTCATAATGCAGATGTCCGGATGAAGTTACAGGCAAAAACCACATTTTACTCGTAACTAAATTTTTTTTTCTAATCGAATATTGTTTTCTTAAACCAACAATCATCTCACAGACATACGTATATATATATTTTTTTTTTTTTAAAAAGTTTAGATTAAATTTGTTTTTGACCGAGTAACTCTATCCAAAACTTAAAAAATAGATTTTATTTTTTAAATGTGTAAAATGATTGTCAAGTTCAGAAAATTGTTGAGGGGCTTGCATTGGTAATTTGTAAGCGCCGACACTGCCCTTATACTTTCGTCAGTATTTGAAGAGTGGTGTTAAAATTTTCCCTTTCGGCCTGAAAAATATCTAGTGACGGGCCTGAGTCCTGACTAGGGGCTTCAGTACCCCCCCCCCCCTCCTGAAATTAGTTCCTATTTGTGCTACTGGATTATATTTTGGAAAAACACAGATAAACAATTATTATTGTATACACATAAACGTCGTGTTGCCAGAGTCAATACAGTCGACGGATTAGTATTTCTACCTTATTATAGCTTTGTGTTACATTAATTATTCTCTTAAAAAAAAAACTTATTCTCTTGATAGTAGGGTATTCCTGTTTCCTGGGCAGACCAGTTGTTCCGTCTACGGTAGAAGGGACCCTACGGTAACTGTAAGTTGTGTTATGACGATAGTTACCTATAGTTTCGCAACTATCGAAACTTTTAGTACGTTGGAAAACATTAGTCGGTTAGATGTCTAAAATCTTAACCATGATCTGTGGCATGGTGAAACTGTACATTTCGTTGCTATAAACATATAGCGCCAAAACAACTTAACAGCAAATAAATTTCGTCTTGTAACATTTCACAATTTAGGATAGCATAATAGTTCACAATCAAACTGTCAAACCCTAAAAAAACAATTGGTCCACTGAATGATGGAACTTAATTTTTTTTTTGGCATTAAAAAACAAAAATAATGGAGTTTAAAAAATTATAAATTATTGTTTTTTCTTGAAATAATGAATTTGCGGGTTAACAAGCTGTTCTGACGCCTCATATGTAACTACGATTTTGGGTAGAGCTTTAAAAACATTTGTCCAAATAAATAATAATCCTTGTAACAAGGTTATCGTGAACAAATAGTCCTTACATGCCGGCCAATAGCTCGTAAACGAGTATTCCCAGTGCCCAGAAGTCTACCGCTCGGTCGTGGCCTTTGTTAAGTACGATTTCGGGTGCCACGTATTCCGGCGTGCCGCAAAAAGTCCAAGTCTTCTTGCCGCGCGGTTGCAGCCGTTTGGCGAAGCCGAAGTCTACCTGCAAAACGGGTACACTGTAAACGTATTGTGTTGTAAAACGCTACAGCCAAATTTCACCAAACGTTGTTCGACATTTAACACAATACAGTTGCTATGTGTTATACACTGACCAGTTTGACGAACCCCTCGCGGTCCAACAACAGGTTTTCCGGTTTCAGGTCCCTGTAGATCACGTCGGTGTCGTGTAAGTAGTCGAGTGCTTCAAGCACACAGGCGGCCACGAAGCAAGCGGCGTTGTCGTCGAAGCACCTGCGGTCCCGAAGTAACGACCAGATCTCGCCGCCTAGACATGCTTCCATCAGCATGTAAACGTACTTGTCGTCTTTGTACGTGCGGTATAGTCTAGAAAAAGAAAAAAAAACTATAATAATTTAAGACCCCGCATGATATTTTAGTGGGTTCTAGTGTTCCGGCCAGTTTTGAAACACAGCTCGGGCGATTTAGTAAATGTATAAAATATATTGAAAGAAGTGTTCAACATAGGGAAAGAAAATAATATACTATAGATGTACAAAATATTAGATAGGTAGGCGAAAAGCCAAAATTTTGGCTCGCTTTTCAGAGAGACAACGGCTTGCATATAATATAAGAAAAACTGAGATCTAAGGTATGGAATTAATAACTACGAATCGAACAAGTAGAAAACACAATACATATACAACACATACAATCCGTGGCGAAACCCTTTCAAACCGGAAAATAAAATATTGAGAGATATTGTTTTTAACATTTGTTCAGAATCTTAAAGAAATTACTTTCTGCGATGAAACGTTTTTTTTCCATTCATGTTTTTTAGAGAGAATATTAATAATATTATGGTATCGACAAACTTGTAACTCGAAGAACGTGATATGTATCGTGAATGTCTAAACACGGTTTGTATATTTGTTTGATAATTTTCGGATATATCCATGATGTCATTAGCTGTTAGTCAACTGAATAAATGAAAATTGCAAATGGAGAAAGGGAAGAGCAAAATGTAAAGAATGCCAAAGGAAACAAGAGATGCTCTCAGTACAGACACGACAGCGGACAGTAGAACGGTAGTGACTATTACTCAGAAGATGTACCCTGCAATAGGTTCGAAACTTCAACTAACTAATGACAGCGCGAATGGTTGGAGTCTTTTGTAAATTATAATCGTTTCTCACTTTCCGATGAATGGACTGGAACACGATTCTAAAATTGTCTTCTCGTTGTAAACGTGCTCTTGTTGTTGCATATCAACTATGTGCTGTTTTTTTAGCTTCTTCATGGCATACGACCGGTCTCTGTCCAGCTTCAAGCACACCAGATCCACGCGACCGAACCCGCCAACGCCAATGGTGGCGACCGTCTCGAAGTCTGTAAGTTCTACGCGGAATAATTCCGGATAGAATAATTCTAAAAAGTCAAACCGATTAAAATACCTAACAATGTTGGTATAATATTTCAATGACATCCGTCGTCACTGAACGTAAGTGTTGACTTACTGTCTGCACTCCCCGTCGACAAAGGTTTGGTGGACGGTCGCTCTGAATATTTTTTATTTCTCAACTCTTCCAAGTTGCCGATAAAATGTATGAACGGCCTGTCAAATAACATGGTTTTTTTAATCGTTAGAAACACAATATTTAATCGGTACGGAAAAAAACCGTTTTTACTCTCTATCCAGCGTTAGGCATTCTGCTCCCGGATGCGTGGCCACGACGTTTGCCGTCCTCTTGTCCTCTTTGAGTAGCGCCACTTCACCGAAAAACTCACCCTGTTCCAGCACGCCGAACTCTTCTTCTTCTTCGTCGTCACCTAAAACAGGACCGACGGCGCATCGTTTAGGCAATTCGCGCGCGTCTTACAGTTTTAACAAACACCTACGGGCACCTATTACTTGCCTTTATTGCGTTTCGTGACTTTCACCCGGCCTTCGCTCAATATGTAGAATTTGTCTCCCATAGTGTCTTGTTTTATTATGTAGTGCCCTTCCGGATAGAATTCCTGTCAACAATATCGGTACGATATTACACTGACATCAGAGTTTCATCTGGGCTTGTTTCAATATACACATATATAATACTATATTTATGGGCTTTACGCAAGAAGTTCGTAATGTGAAAAATGACATAGTAAAAATATGAGATCTATCTAATATCCAACTGAGAGGACGAAATCTAGCTGGAAATCCATCACGTGTTTTTCCATCTCTTCTCGTTTACCAAACATTTGGATATTATCTTAGATTATGATTAACAATACTATTATGATGAACCTAAGCCTACGGCGTACCTCGTCATCCCCAAGTCTAGAATTGTAAACACTAAACAAAGCAATAGGTACCTACCTCCTTAAGTACGTCGGCGATTTTCCATAGAATTTCCTCGTCGAGGTCTTTCATCAACGGTACGCTTTTCAAAAAGCCCACTCTCTCGTCGAACCTTTTCATCGCCGACGTCTTCATGATTTTCTGATAGGCCACTCGTTCCAACGTCCACACCTTGGCGTCTTGAGCGGCTGCAAAAATCACACACACACACACCGTGGTATATCATTCGACATATACCTCATAATGGCTAGGTCGTTTAGATTGATTAATGAAAAACGCGGATTACCTTTGACAGAAGCGGTTCGCGGGCAGTTATAGAGGATGGCCAATTCGCCGAACACCTCGCCGGGCCATATGTAATCCACCACCCGTCCACTCTGGATGACGTCCAACTTCCCTTCGTCGGCCACATACAGACAGCATCCTGTATGCAAGAACGTCAGTTTAGTTGAGTTGGCAAAACATATTTAAACCCCCCCCCCCATCCATAGGGGACCCCGACAAAATTGTTTTGGTATTTACTCAAAATATGAATTTTGCGGGATTGTTACCGGATTCGCGCACACTTATAAAAACTCAACTGGCTCAACTCTGGCTCATTCAGACACCTCACACAGCACGTTGACACTTACGCTACAATACTTGATCTCACTTACCAGGTTCGCCTTTTTTGATGATGTACGACCCGGCGTCGAAATCCTTGGGGTACATGACGTCCACGATTTCGGACATCTGAGCGGTATTCAAGTTTTTCAAAAACGGATTCTTGCATAACGCCGTCTTGATCAAGTGCTTGGACCTGCCGAAAAATTATTATTGTTACTATTATCAACGGCATTGGCTGCGGACACGGTTAATTTGCTCGCGTACTTGATGGATTTGGTCTGTTTGGGCAGCGTCAGAGGTACCTCCACCAGACTGGAACATTCTCCCGAAACGCCTTTCTTCTTGTCCACGCGGTTAGGGATCGACAGGCCGGCCGGGACGTTTTGATTGAAAACCGATTGCTCGATCATGTTCTATACACGCAAACACACACACACACAGAGTAAAAATTACAAGCAAATAATATTACTCTACAATGATGACGAATATTATCTCTAGTTTTTTTTTTTATTATATTGTTCTTATCGTCGGCCAACCGGCGATATTTTATTCATTTGTTTTTAATCTCGACGTTTGGTCGTTTTAAATGGGTCACACATATGCACAGGATGTCATTGCGCGTCCGCCTATCGTCGAAAGTAATTATTAATGGTGCTCGTTTCGCACCTGCTGCTGGAACGCTCTACGGATACGGCGATAAGGGACAATGTTAACTGTTTTCCAACTTCTTTACCACATTATCCCTAAAGGTGTTTTATATTTCGCATCTGTAGCCGATGTATGCATGATATAAATTATAATATTTCCAATAAATATTTGGCTTTTATCCGTAGTCCGTGGGTAGTATTATCCGCATTACTGGCATCATACGAGTCGGGACGGACGATAAAAAAATACTCGAAAGGTTAAATACAACCAAAAAATTAATTTAATCGATCGGTCATTTTTTTAAGATATTTACACAATACAGATAAACACATACGTCATGTTTAATACCGGTAAATATATATTATTGTAAATAACATAAAAACCTACGAAAGCGTAGGTAATACTTACAATTGAATTAAAAGTTAACTTCTTGTGGTCACAAATTACATGTATAAAAATAACCTTGGTAGTGACTTCGAGGCAAAAAGTCATCGGTCGAATAAAATAAAAACGTCAGGTCGTTAATTTCGACGGTAAAGGTAGTTTATTTTAGTTTGTATTTTGAGGTCAATCGATTTTGGATGCAACGAGAAAATATTAATATTATAATATTTTGTACCGCACTATTATACAATATACTTGAAAAACCCGCCTTCGCTCGTGTGAAAAGTGCGTTAAATTATGATTTAAACAATTATTATTAATTATAAATTATAATTTATGTTTTTTTAAGTTTACATGTTTTTACTTATATGCATAGAATTAGGCAACCGAAGTTTTTTTTATTAAGGGGCCTCTACACTAGCATTTATTAAGGCGCATTGTATAGGCAATTTTCCGCTAAAACTTAACATTAAGTTAAAATATTTAAATATCTAAATTTTTAAACATACATATTACCATAGGGAAGATGTATCTATTTTGATCATTTTTTTCAACTTTTATAACGCCTATAGGATCTATTTTTGTACAAAAACACATGTTTCTACTTCAAACGTACTGTCTTTAAGAATACATCGATTTAAGTTTTTAAAAAACATTTGAATCCTTCGCAACATTTTTAAGGCATCGGTCATGGTACAATTTTAAAATTATTTTCAGTTAGTTAATTATTTCAATAAAAAAAATTGAAATTTTTAACTTTTTGCAACTAAAGTAATCAATTAACTGAAAATTATTTTAAAATTGTGCCACGACTGATGCCTTGAAAATGTTTTGAAGAACTCAAATATTTTTTCAAAACTTAAATCGGAGTAATCTCAGTACGTTTGAATTAGACTGAGTTGTTTTCGACCAAAAATATGCAGGTGTAGAGGTGCCTCTTAATTAATAAACTATAGAATTACTATTGTTATTGTTGTAGGCTATCTATCACGTTATGTGCCTTCCCCTTACTAAAAATGGGGAAAAGATAAACGCTATAACATCCCGAGAGGGAGGAGAGTACTTGCAACGACTCTGTGAAAAAAAATTATGAAATTATTCAATTGCTTCGCCATAAAAACTAGAACATAAAACGAGTCTGTTCTTCTATATAATATATAAGGATTAACATGAACGGGTTTTCTTTGTTTACCAAGTGTTGGTACTCACGCGAATTTCGTCCACGGCCTGACCGAGGTGGTCAATCCGGGAATCCTTATCTCTCATAGACACTTTTAGGTGTTGCACGTCTTCTTCCAGTTTTTCCATGGTGCCGCCGCGACCGTTGTCGGTGGCCAAACGACCGCCACCGCCACTGCCAGCAATCGAGTTACCCATGAGCAGCACGTGGATCATGGCTCAACCTGCTCTACATGTCTCCGTGCGAGCGCTACGGCCGACGTCGATCGCCACCGCCGCCGCCGTCACCCTCCGTTCGGGTACACAGGTAAAGACACAAACAAATGTATCGGCCACACGCACTGGGCTCTACCGTTTGACATGCGGGCGGTGTATAACCCACTAATTATTATTATCGTCGTCGTCTCCCCTATGTTGTTTCGGTGCCGTGCCACCGTAGGTCCGATGTGGTTATCGACGGGTCACGGACCGCCTACGGGTGCCGCCAAACTTTGTGTGTACACACAGCGTGGCCACCACTATATACACAATATGCAAATACTACACGTTTGTATTTGCACGTTATCGCCGCCGTCGTAGGTAACCGACAGAGCGACCGCCGTCACCGTCACCGCGATTGAAGGCCCTTATTGTGCTGATTATTATGTCTTGGAATGAAAATTGAAATCGCCGCAAACGTACGGTTTTGTGGACGATAAGTCATAAATTATTGTTATCTGCACGTTTTAAGGGGAACGGAAAGCGTCAATTTTTTTTACAAAAAAAGACTAAAACGCAAAGTCATTTTCTGAAGTGTCTACCGAACCGATTTCAAAAATGTGTTTACTTTGTTATATAGTTGTAACATGTTTTCTATGGCCGATTTTTTATTTTTGTTTTCAAAAAAACTATATAAGCATTTATATTTTTACTTTTTATAGTTTTTTTCTACGAAAGTAATTTTTTATTAAACTTTTGCTATAACTCGGAGAAAAATAGATTTAAAAGTATCATAACTGGAAAAACCTAATATTTTTTCACCATAAAATTAGTCGGCATATTAAAAATGGCTAGTAGATACATTTTTCGTCAACTATTGCCCATCCTTTGCCCCGTAGTAAAAAGCACTTTTCGTTCCCCTTAAGTCGAGGACCGCACAATGCCCATGTTTAAGGAGTAAAGTATAGTCAATTTTTTACAAAATCTTAACTCAACGGTTAAACTGTGATGTGTAATTATTAGTAGTTAGGACTCTTTTTTATGGTAGTTAAATTATTTTTCGGACTATCATAGCATCCTTGACAGCGATAAGTTTAGGTTTTTGGTTTTTTAAACAGCTAATTTTTAGATTTTAAATTTAGTTATTGAAAAAAACCGACGACAGACACTAGAATTTCAACTCTACAATCATTAGGTGTACCGAGCTACATAGTTTGGCGTTGACCGTGTTTTACTTCTAAACTTTAGGGGTATAGCGTCCCCTTAACCGCTGGACTCGACGAATTTCTTATTTGATTCGTCCGGAACTGTTTGATGGTTATAACAATAATAATAATATTACAATTGTGCATAAAAAATAAATTGGTATCGGTGCCTTTGTTCTTGTTGTTTTTGAATAACATTTACCTCCCAAATACCTATTTTATAGTGCATACCTAGACAGAAAGACTGTCAAAAGTCATTTTTATTAACTATTACACCTACTATCGATGTTGAATCAACTACAATAACATGGGTGCGCGTAAAAAGGGGAATAATTCAACAGTTGTACAAACTTTTTAAGAAAGGGAAAATAAGTTTTAGAAGACACGTTAGATCGTGTCATTACGATAGGATAAATCGTTGGCTTACAAGTGAAATACATAATATAAAAGTCAATAATCAAGATATGACTTAACGGGTCTAAAGATTAAAACATTTTAGACCACCACAAAAACCAATCAACTACCAATATGAATCATACATTTCAACAAATCCATAAAAATAATTGACAAAATAGCTGTTATAAGTTAAAAAAAAAGACTTCTATCTTATTGAGTTGAATTTACTCTTTCTGCATGTAACCCATTTTGCACAAAATATTGTCTTAACCCCTTTTTCACGAGCACCCACGAATTTATTTTTATTATGACTTGTGAAGTAGGAGTATCTTAATTAACTCTATGGTAGGAATGAAAAAATATGGTCAATATGTGTGAATAGCAAATTTCAATAAAGTATGATTGACTTTGTCGGTAAAATCGACAATACAATTTATCGACAAACGCGTGTGGCTATTTTTAATATTTTTTCTACAATTTTAAATATAACCGCATGTCATAATTTAATGTTGAACTAGCGGTCTAAAAATAATGTAATAATTGTACAGCCATTAGTCGTGGTGAAAGAAGGTAGGGCGGCCGAGTAGGTATGCGCATGGCAATAATAATAGGTACAATTTAACTTTACAAACCGCATTTTACTTGGCACAACCAAGTACCGACTTGAACACAATACTATTTTTGCTAGACAGAAATAACATAGGTACGCCATAATGTACGTTTGGTCAATATCTTCGGGTTCATTACGCTTATAAAAAGAATTAAAAAAAAAAAACAAATGTTTAACCCTGAACTTGGCATTGTATCTTTAAATACATATATATTTTATACATGTATAACTTTCTATGGTCAACCTAAAAAGTACTATTATTTTAATTATTTTTGCTATTTAATAATAATTATCCCTTGCCAAGTTAAAGGTTAACTGGTAGTGTTTACAGAAAATTCACAATTGAAAATACCTGCATAATACCAATAGCAGTTTCAAAAGAATATATTATCGAAACATCTGTTTGGAAAAAAACCTAAAATACTAAATAGTATGAGAATATTGTCAACTTTTGATTTTGTTAAGACTTTTGATGTTTTTTTACAATATAACATCAACTATCAAGTTATGTTGATAGGTGCTTTACATTATAGCGAAAAACAGAATTTTTATCACGTGTCTGATAGCCCTACCGACTATCGTATGGCGAGCCAAATAAAATTGATTTTTATTACTTAAAACCCAATTTAAAAGACACAATTTATTTTATGTCTTTCTATTATTATTTTTATGTTAGGTTATATTATATATGATATCTTGGATTTATAGCGACCAATCTCACTTTTAGTGACATTTGAATCGTCCATATATATATATTCGTCACCAAACTTTTATCAGATGTTCTACTCACTTATAAGTAAGTATTGCATGAATTTGGAAAATTTTCGTTCAGTCACATTTGTGTTGTGGGTTATAAAAGTAGGTAGTTTTCAGCAAAATACCCAAGTTTGAAGCCGTAAATTAATAGCAAAAAAAAAACTTAATTGGTTCAAAGATGATAGGGATCATAAGAACATAACTTAAATGTTATATAAACAAAATATTTGTTTTTAATTTTTAACTTTTTGACCCCAAACAAGTTTTTGAAAAATTCAATAATTAAAAAAAATAAAAAAATTTCTAGGGTTAAAAAAAATGTATTTTCTTGAACTATGGTTAAAGTGCACTTAATTAGAATTTTAATTGTGCAGGTTTCATGTTTATACATGAGGTGTTTTTTGATAATTTTTTTTTAAAAATTTACCTACCTAGGTCCAAAAAAAAATTAAAAAATTGTTTTGTTATTAAGGGCCTATAAAGAATGTATGATAAAAATTTGAAATATTTTTGAAGTATAGTCGCACATCCATTAGGTGATTTCACGTGGAATGACCCATATATATATATATATATATATATATCGATGACTAATCTAACCCTTTTTTTGTTTTTTTTTATTTGCACAATTTGACGATTTTACTAATGGTTGGTTTATTTATGTTTTAGGGACAGCGTTCAGATATTAGTATAACACATAAGCCACAAATGTGATTATAACTGTTAGTAAAACCGTAAATATATTACATTAAATTTTAAACTAACAACTTGGATATTACGGCAAAATGCAAAAACTTTTTAAATAAAATAAAATCTTAATAATTATCGTGACTTTTGAAGTGGTACTACCACCGAGATTTGACACCATTTCTCCTCAATTCTTTTGTATGTATCTTTTGTACTATTAGCATTCACTGTAGTACAAATGCCAGCAGATTTATCAGTCTGAATTTTTTGTATATATAGTGATGGGAATCTTATGCTCATGAAAATTGCTGACAAACGACACATCCATAATAGTTCTAATTCAGGTGGTTCTAGAAAATTAAAACATTTTTTTTTTGTCATTAATTTGTCAAACTTAGTTTACTAACTACTACATTATACTGCAAGACACAACTACGTTACTTGTAAATAAAATAATAATAGAATATGTTCTTATTGAACAGCTATTTGTATTATAAAGGCGTATGTGTTAGTACAGTGACTAGATATTATTATTATAAAAGTACAAATCTGTTTTCTAGTTATCGCTTATTATGATTATAAGTTAAAAATTAAAACTAATTGTATCCTTGATATGAAAAATCGACCACCCAGACTAAGAGTAATGTCCCCCCCGTATTCTTGAATGTGTTGTTTGGGTGGTCGGAATTTTTTGGATTTTGGACCTATTCTTAAATATTAATTTGCTTATGTTGTTTTTTCTTTGAAAAATTATTTACAAAATACAAAAGTACAGATAAATCAAAACGATTGCAGTAAGTTCGCGGCCTGATGCGCTAACACTACGGATGTATACAACTTAAGAGCCTGCTGAACGTTATGCAACTACAGTTAGTGATAGACTGTTGCCTTAATATACCTTAATCAATTTTATTTCATAGTAGTTTTAGAGATTACCCCGGACAAAAATAAGGGTCTCTCTTTTATATACATGAAAAACAAAAGATATATTACATACATATACTCGTATATACAAATATATAAATGGTTAACACTTAACACCCATACAACTCTATAATATTATTTACCTATTGCCTTGTCCCATATATTTTTTACAGCTACTGCAGTAAGAACTCTTCTCTCTTTCCCAAGTTCTTCCATAACTTCCATATAGTTTTTAAAAACTGCAAATATTTTTAAAGGATTGTGTTGATAAAATATAATAATAATAATAATTATTATAATTAATTAATTATATAATATATAAATAATATTTACTACAACTTTGTTCACCAAATCTGGTTAAAGGAAATCGTACACACTTTTTTCTGCATTTAGGTGCATGTAATTGCAAATAATCTATTAACACAATCGGTTCTTTGGATATATTTATTAAGTTGCTTATATAGCAAACAGAGCTGTGCATTATTAATTAAATGTAATTAATGTGATGTAATTATCAAACTAATCATCTAGATTAAAAGTTATTACTTATTATATTCAATTATGCCACATATAATATATATGTTCATTATATAAATATATATTCACCTAACCAGGTAAAAGGAAACTAATTTATTTTTTAAATAAAAATAAAATGTATACATTTTTTAGGTATATGTAAATGCAAATAATCTATTCCCTTTATTATATATATATTATAGGTTTGGTGAACAAGACCGTTATTTTAATAAATATTACTTTAAAAAACATGAATGGGTTGAGTACACTATTTTTAAAAACGCCAATATCTGCTATGCAAGCTGAACTTTATCATTGACATAAAATTCAAGCATTAAGTTAAACATTTTTAAAGAAAAATTAATTTACAAACATGCCATTTAAAATGACCGTAAATCCTCTCACCCTCTCTCCCTTACTAAAAGTTGATTTCATTAAAATTATTAATTATTATTTGACATTAAACATTAAAAAAAAAAGCAAATGACTACTCTAAAACCAGCTTTAAAAGCTATTTACGACTATCAAAAAATGCATAATTACATAGGTGTGGAACTTGAGGAACAGGAATTTCTGTAACAAATATATCAAATAACAATTACTCTAAAACTAAGCTATTGTTAGACCAAAAAATTAATGCAAAAATATTGTTATAATATTAATTTATTTTTCCAATAGCAACTCTTGAATTAACGGGTTTAAGTTACATTTCAAATAGTTAACAAAGGCTTGTGTAATAAATATAAAGCGATAATATGATTGAACTTAAATTTTTTTTTTTATCGTTCTTATTTAGTTTAAGAATTTTAATTTTGAAATTGTTTCGCTTAAAAACGTTAAATTTCATATTTACCTAATTCAAGTTCTATTTCTTTTCGCAAATCTGATTGCATTTTTTCCAATTCTGTAAATTACCACAAAATTAGTTTGTGTAAAAGTATTGTAAATATAGAGTATAAATATTTAATTACCAGATAAATTGTAAAGTAAGTCCTTTTCTGAAATTAAATTAAAAACACTGTGCACTTAATATATAACAAACAACTGTGTGGAAATATTTCTATTATATTCATTAAAAAATTATTACCCGGTGTAGCGAACATCATATTCATCACTCCTATAATTACAATATATATATATATATATATATTAATGATTTTTGATTTTATTTTCTATTCTATTATAAAATGGAAAAATAATATTAAGGTAGAAAAACATGTGTTTAAGTAAATCACAAAAATGTACTTGACTTGACTATAATGATTAGATGGAAAATTATGAAAATAAAATTGCTAAATTGAAGGAGATGTGGTGGTTAGAATAAAATATAATTATTAGATGAGGTTGACATTAGAATAGTATATTATATTTTTAAAATAGTATTGATAAGCTAATATCAGATTCATTTTGATTTAATTTGGATTAAGGAGAAAAACTTAATATTTATATCACAGAGAAACTTGTGTTGCAAATTTTTTAATATTTTTTACAAGCTATATCTTTTATATTTGTGTTATTATATAACTATTACTACCAATATAATAATATCTGTATAACTATTTGTAACTGTAGAAATGTGTTTGATTGTATTCAATAGACTAGAAACTTTAATAGCTAGCATAATTTTTTTCCATAATGATTTCATTTAGAGTTTAGAGAAATATATATATATGATCTTCATCCAATATTATCTTTATTTGTTTTATTATACTGATATAATATAAAATATATTATACAAATATTTTATATTATTATTAAATAATTATAACTACCTAAACTATATTTATCATTATTCCCAATAATTTTTATAATTATATGCTCCAATCCATCTGGAATACATAAATAAAGGTTTGAGCTATATTACAAGTTAAAAATAAATAAATATATAAATCATTAGAATAAGCACTTGTTTACATCATATTAGGTAGAATAGTCATTGCCTAAAGCCAAGTGTAATAAGTTATAGAAACAGCTTTTTTTAAACATAAATATTGCTATATGATTTTTATAACTTTAGTAAAATACACAGTGTTTTTAGAACATTGGTTCTATATACCTCATGCACTTTTCTGAACTGTTTATAGAAACTATAATTTTTTATTTATTAAAACTCATAGTCAGACAATCATAAAAAAAAAAATTATAATTAAGATTAAGAATTTTAAATATATCTCACTTGTGTCAATATTATTTCTTTTATGTATCTTATTAGAGGCAAGCTTGATGTGGGCATCTGTAGTACATAATTTAAAAAAAATGTATAAAACAGTAAAATTATAAATTTAAAAATGTTAAATTTATTAAACAAAAATGTAACTGACTTGTAACGTTAACATCCTTCATATAATTCACTGTAAAAAAAGTGAAATAATGTTTTTTTTTTAAATTTTCAACTATGTACCTTAAAGTAGGTAAATGTGGAAATAAAATAATTACGTCTAGTATAATTCTCTGTATCATTTGTTGAAACATTTACAAACCAAAATGTTATTAAAAAACAAAAAAGTTTCATTTTTATCTGTAAAATTTAATTAACATAAAAGTAAAATTCAATTATTATGATTTAAAGTATAATTTAATTATATCAGTCATAGTCGCCATCAGAGACAGGCACGGCGCCAGAATTTTTTTCCTAGGGGGGCGGGAAAGGTCAAGTGAATTTTTTGGAGGGGCAACCACAATCACTTTACCTACTTCTGTCAATAAAAAACAATTATAATGATTGATTAGTGAATGACTTTAATATTTATCAGTGAAATAGTATAAAATATAAAATATAAATTTATTACATATTAAGGGACAATATATACTAGTGCACAATTTAAGTAAGGCAACTTTTTTAAATAAACGTTATTTTTACCTGTCGGCCATCAATTAGTTCTTATTGTACTCTATGAAAGTCGAAGTAAAAATGAAGGCTTATAAAACACCCAACAACCAGTTAGTGGAGATTATAGTTATCGTGTTATATCCACATTCTATTAAAACATTCATTATCAAATCAATGTCATAACTAATAACTAAAATTGTATACATTAACAGGTTTAAATCAAAACATTGTTTCACAATTGTTTTCACAATTTCCGTAATAACTAAATTTGTATATATAAAAATACAGTAATTCAAAATCTGGGTTGTAGGAATAATAATCAAATATTTAAAATTGTACTATTTAGCAAAATATCTGGGGGCGGGGTGAGAGAAGGGCAAGAATTTGTTATAAGGGGGCGACCGCCCACCCTCGTCCCCTCTTGGCGCCGTCCCTGATCAGAGATAAGTTGATTTTTGTATTAAATCGCTGTTTTTTATCTGATAAATATATTTTTCTTTTTTTTTAATAACCCACGGTACTTCATAGATTCCTAAATTGATTTTAACATGGACGGGTTTTTGGACTGGGGTCTTTTAATAATAATACCGCCACGTCACGGAATGTGCAACGCTCTCTTTAATTTTTGAATTAAAGATGCACAAAACTAGTAGTTTGATATGAGTTTAAAGGAAGAAAAGAGTTTGCTATTATGAAATTATTGTGCACATAGTTTTTAACCGTATAAACTGAACTACTTATAAACTGCTCATTAATTATTACTTAACTTATTATATATATTTGAAGCAAAAACGTATATGTTATAATCAAAATAGGATAATCTTTTAAATAGTATTTTATATCCGTGTTAAACTATTTTTTAGACATAAAGTTGTAAAAAGTATGAAAGTATAAAGCAATACATTGCTAAACAATGAAGAAATTAAAAGATTAATTAAAAACATTACACAAAAACATCATGCGATTTCATTAAAGCAAACGTTGCTATAAAACCATCACGGATTGTTTAAAACTCAATATAATGCTAAGTTTTAGTAAAACGATTTAAGGAAAACCTCGTTAATGGGCACTCCGATAGTCCGATCGAAATTTGAAAAAAATAATAAGTAATTAAATATAATATTATACACTGTTTTAGGTTTATTACACAATAGTTATTAGCTTTTGAGTAGAATTGAGTAATTGCTTATACTGCTTTTTAAACTGAAGAGTATAGTATAACGTTCTGTAATTACTATTAATTATTCAAAAACTATATGTATTTCTAAAATAAATTTTAAATACTTTTCTATGATTTTTTTTTTTATTATTAAAAATAGAATTAACTTAGACATAATAAGCGTATATAAAACTTTTAAATCTTGCTAGTGTTACTTACTTAAATTTTTAAATGTATTAAAATTTTAAGAAAATGATCAGCTTGCTTAACTGTATTGATGTGACTTTCTTGTAATATGTTTCGCAGTTTGCCTTAATGTTAGTTTACATAGATGTTTTTTTTTTTTTTTTTTAAATATGAGTACATGTTTACATTACACTGACGTGGATTTCTGGTTATTTTCATTTAATGTTTTACATAAAAGAATTTTATTTTGTCGATAAAATAAAAACGTATACGTTGTTGGTTTTCTAGCGCAACTAGTACCTTAATAAAAAATGGATAAAACCGATTTGCCTAACCTTGCCAATAAATATTGTTTAGATTTATCGCTGTAAAATTATTTGTGGTAACAGTTAAAAAAAAAACAATCTCCACGTGAATGTTAATATTTGAAATACATTTTTCTGATTTGTCAAAATAAATAGTTTGATTTTATGTCTAAAAATGTTAATCCCGTCCTATTTAATATATCATTCAAAAATAAATGCTTTGGATTAGATTTGAATATCTAGTTCCATAAGGAATAAGTTCAGCTATTTATAAAACAATTTTAGAAATTACTATCAGCTAAAAAATAATGTAAACATGTTCTCCGAAAATTTGAAAAATTGTCATCTTAATCAACTTATGTCATCGTATCTCATGTAAAATAGTATAAATGTAAATTTGTGTAACTATATTACAAAATGGAAAAATATTTTGTAATATAAATTTAAATATGTGTTTTAACTTTATAATAAACCCATTTTTAATCTAAATTGAATAACAATAAAACTAAATTGCGAGACTCAGAGCTTTATTTGTTTTGATGTTATGAGTGGTATACTAATACCTGATGCCATCATCTAAAAATTTCATCACGCCTTTATGAATATTAGATAAAACAAATTACTTGAAACTTTACAAATATTACTTACTATAAGATTTCAATCATAAAAAATTGTATTAATAATTAAAAATAAAACCATTCTTTACTAAAAAAAAATTTTTATTCGGGGATGAAGTAGGATATTATTATCATTTAAACGTTTAGTTTTTTATCAACTGTTAAATGTTTTTTTTTATGTGCAAAACACAGTTACTTTTATATAACAAAGAACTTCTAATACTAGGTAAGTTAAATACAATCAAAACAAGTTTCTATGTCAAAAACAAAATATATTGTCTAAACTACACGGTTTATTGGGTATTTGCACAAATGCTCCATTTTGCGTACGATGTTGTACAGAAAATAAGTTTTGAAAAATATTAAGGTAAGAGTGGGTAAATAAAAAAAACACGAGAGATTTTTAGATTTTGTTTCACATATGTGACCTCTTTTTATAAATTCATTGTACCTATATAAATCATTTTTTTTAACAGGAGTACTATTGCGTTAAATAATGTATTTATTTTATTATTAAATAACAATATTTAGTATCCTATGACGGTTATACGTAGTAGGATAAGAATGAGGGTTTAAAAAAATAGTAGTGCGAAAAACAACAACATTAATGTCAATCCACAAAAAACAAACACAATATTTCTAAAAAACTAAGTACTTCTAAGAATGTAATACGTTTTAGAAGGAAGGTTTGTTGGAGTGTAGTGTTATTTCTAACTGCGTACATCACTCAACCGTACTTCTCCTCCTGTCTTAATATTTTAAACTTAAATAATTCTAAAATTAATTATTTAAAACAATATAATATCCACCTATAATCACCTATTATAAGCAATATACTACCAGTCGATACTCTTATTTAAGATAAAGTAAAGTTATAATTAATTTTAAAAAATGGATGAAGTAAATAAGTTTCCAATTAAATTTGAAAAATTCTCTGGAGAGTACCAAAAAAATGTTGGAAATCGTATGAAATTGAAAAAATCGTTAACCAAAATTTCTAGAAATTATTTTTTCAAAACAATAATGAATTACTATAAGTTGATAAGTGATAAGTTGATCACTTTTGGAGTTTATTTGTACATGTTGATACTAGACAAAAACAAAAAATAATTGGAAACAATTTTTGAGTAAACCTTAAAAAATGAAACTCATAATGAGTTTAACCCGAAACCTTACTATTTATGCCATTACTGGAATCCGATTTCGGGTATTTTAACACTGTATCCAGTAAAGGCAAAGTAGTGGATTTATTCAACATTAAAAATGAGTCTAGTGTGGGCGAGCTGTTATTACTGTATAATGTAGTTACTAAATATAGATTAAACAACGGAGCTTGTCGAGACTTACTAATTTTCGCTCGAGCAATATTCCACCAAAACTTTGTTATTTTAGTCCAGCAATATGTAATGGCCGCGGTTTTTATATGCTATGGTACATACCTCAAGATTTTAAAGAAACTGCATCCAGCTAATAAAATAGTCGAAGAAGATCTTGAATGTTTTGACAAGCATAAAAAAATATTAAGTGAGACTATGTCACTTAAGAACAAACAATGTATGTTATATTAACCAAAATGGTTTTTACTCATAGACAAAATAATTTAAATTAAAAATAATACCATGAAGCTTATACAAATTAACCGGTAAATTAATTGACATGATCAAAATGTATTAAAACCACTTTCCCTAAATATTGCCTATACAAAACTCCTTAAAAACCAACCGCATGCAATCCCCTTAAAAGTATTTATAAAAAGATGTATTATTTTATGAATTCATATAATCTTCAGTTTTCGATTAACGTTGAATTCAATAGTAATAATGAAGCCGATGTAAAAAAGGAGCTCGATCAACTTGATACCAAAATCGAAGATGTCGGTCATTATCTTCTAAGTTTAGAAAGTTTCAAAACTGTTTTTCAGAGAGGACTCGCATTAGATTGTCATGTGGATATGACCAAAGACCAACTAGCAGATGGTATGCTATCGTACATACTACTACATGAAAAAGAATGTAAGTTGTTCAGTAGAACCATCTTAGCTGTTACTTGCACCGTTTGAATTAATTTACTTGAATTTGTTTTAATTTTAATATGATGTATTTTATTGTTTTTTTTAACTGTATCAGTTTATTTTTTGTACAATATTAGGTTTAAAAAAATGAGATCAGTTACTAAAAAAAGTAAATCGTTTTTCAGGTTATGGTTATGTTAATAACTTTATTGACCACGACTCTCCAATAATCCTGCCTATTATTACATCTTATGGGACTATGACAAAAAAACAAATTTTAGACTTATGTAAGAATGAATTAGGTAAGTTGTTCAGTATAGTACCATCTTAGCTGTAAACAAACCAGTTGAATTTAATATATTGGAATTCATTTTAGTTTTAACATGCTCTAATTTTATTGGGTGTTTTTACTGTAGTAAGTAAACCCGGTAATAAGTATAGTAGAGTAAAAAAATATAATATAATTCTTATAAAACATCTTATACATTAATAGCGTTACTGAATCCTTTAACATTAAACTAACGTGTTTAAAAAACTTTTTGAATATTTTGTTTTAATATTACGTTATTTCACCCCCCCTCCCCAAAAAAATAAATACATGTGGGGCATTCATTTTTTATTAGGATGATTCAGGATCCTTTATGAGATGAGTTAAATCATTTAAACAACGTGCATATTTTCAAAAATGATCTCAACATTTTCAATTTTTAAAAAACAGTACTTTGAATTGATCATACAAAAATCAATATTAAATTGAGTATGGAAAATGCTAAAAATCTCTTCAAAAACTGTAATTTAAACATTTTTTTTAAATTATGTATATTCAATTATATAGTTTTAATTATAATATGATCTGGCCAAATAAACAATAGGCTTTGATGAGGGTGCGAACATATGATTAAATGTAGTTGGATCATGTGGAGAGAACTGTCAGGAATTTCATGTAACAAGGGAACTCCAATGAGACTTAAAGATAATTTTTACAAGAGTGTGGTGAAACTGACCATGTTGTATGATTCGGAGTGTTGGGAGGTAGACAGGAAAATTAAACAGAGAACGAGTACAGCGGAAATGTTAAAAATAGTTAAACGGAGGTGTAATAAAGGTTTCGAAAAAAATCCATCCATCAGAGTTTTCAATTTTTTCATTTTAAAAAATAAAAAAAAATATTTTGAATTTTATTTATTTGGAGGAGTGGCCGAGTGGGTAAGGCGGCAGTGTGTTAGTGCTCACTGTCGCCGGTTCGACACTCGGTCACAGGCGCTCCGTTTACTGGGCCAGCAATCGTCCGGTGAAAATGAACCGCCATCCGAAAGCGAATTCGTCAAGAAACCATCTCATGATGGCAGCGTTGGGCCTTCATGGCCCGTTAAGCTACACGATGATGATTTATTTGGCGTACCTACTATCTACATACAATTTCTGATAAATTACTATAAGACTTGTACCTCGTCGAATCTAATAAAAGAACACATACATTGCAAAAACACCTTTTTACTCTGCATCGTTAAAAAAACAATAAAACGTTGTAAGCCAAATACATACTTTTAGCATATGTAGGCATGTAGCGTTAGTTGGATACCCTAGTTTTTTTTAAAAAAACTTTAAAACTATTTAGAATAAACTAATGTGTTTATATATCAAAATAGCCTACAAAATAGTAAATATATTGTGTAGGCTATGTTTTCTTCGAATTTTAAGTAAAAAAATTAAACCCACTGCGTGGACTCAAACGCATTAATGTAAAACAACGATAAAGCCCTTTTAATTTGGAACTACATATTTGTAATTGGACATGAAAGATTATACTATGATATTATGTTCACTTGTATAAACTTGATAAAACTAAAGGCTGAAACATACAAATAACCCTAACTTAATTTACGTTCAATATTGTTTTACTCCGTTGGTAATATGATTTATTGTTTACTCTTTAGAAATGGCCTGGGTGGCGTCCTTTTAACTATTAAGTTTAAATATGTTTCTGTGATTACATCATACATTCAAAGTTAATATTATTAACCTATTAGTAAAACTAAATTCCAGTGCTTTTTCAAGAACTTGCAGTTTTTTTAATATCCTGGTGTATAAAATTGATAGTAGTTATTTCTGATCTAATCTTAAGGGGATTGAAAGCGGGCAA